CCCCCCCTCCACTGAGTGTCACAAGTTAGATATGTTGAGGTAAATGGTTGATATGTTTGCAAAGGATATATGTGTACACAGATGAACTAGTTGGATCAGATGATATAGTTGGATCAGATGAATAGTTGAAGGGTTTGATATATTTAAATGATCAGATGATTGAACATGAATTGCTTCCCAGGGGGCCCCGAAAAGTTCACGAGCCCATATATAATTATTGTAGTTGAACACACCGTTAACAACAACAACAGAAAGGTTAGCAGACCAGTGCCTTTCAAACCTGGGTTCTTGACCTACAGAGGATCGTCCCTTCAGGCTTTAACTTACTAAGCTCCTCGACTTAGCTTGGTCAAGCCACACGAAGCTGCCGCTGTCAGGAGGCAGTCGACCGATTCTTTCAAGCTGAAGAGGCGTGTTGATCCGATGTTTGATGAAGGTGGGTGCTGCGGCTTTGCTGTGGTAAAATCATGTAAAATCCATCCACATTTGTTTAAAGATGTCGTTGGAACGAGGATGAAGAAAGCTGGTCCTTGGCAGGTCCTTTTTTCTCCATGAGCAATTCATCGGATTATTTTTGTGTCCACTGAAACGAGTGGGTCATAAAGGGATTTGCCATCCAATTCATTGGACAAGTTGGCCTAGTCCCATCAGTGAGAAAATATTTTGATGTCCACCTCAGCCTAACGTGTCCTTCATGCCTTCATGCTTTCCAATTCTCACGTTTTTTTTGGGGTTCAGCAAGTTGTGAAACCTTCGATGTTGGATGATGGACCAATTGTATGCCACAGCAGAAACGATTTCTATTTTGCACACCGCTTGGAGTTTCGATGCAATGTGTGAATCTGATTGTCTTCCAACCCATGTGCCATCCTGTAACCAAGATCCACAAGGCTTTCCACACCAATCATTGAAGTCGGCCTGGCAAACCCAACGTGAGTCGACTCAGGTCTGCCTCCGTTGCCGCGACGGTCTCCGCGCCTGTCCAAGGTGGTGGCGTTGCAATTACGAAGTTTCGTGTTGATGAACGCCGCCCGGGACGTGTGGGAGGTGCGGGGAATGGGAATTGGAGAACATGTTCAGGGGGAGGGGGAAGTCCTGTCTTCCACCCCAAGCTATAGATCTCTCTCCAGATCCTTACCCCACGTACAGGTTGACCAAGAGTTCTTAGTGGTTGGACGGCCATGCTTTGGACTTTTGGATGTGGTTTGTATGAGTGTTCTTTGGGGCACCGGCGACATGAGCAGCTTGACTCCAAGCACTGTTCCTCCGAGCCCATCGCGAACTCACGTGAATTCCCACAATTCCCCAAAGGTTGATCACTTGATAACCCTAGGGATGACCCTGTGGGTGAGCGCCCCTGCGAACTTGAAAGGGGAGCACACAAGGGTTCCATCAAAGCAAGAACTCCTTACACTTCCTGAAAAAGAATAGAAGCGGGGGCCTTATCTGACTGCGAGGTGGTCTTGAGGATTCTGCCATCAGTCGCTGTGTTTTGATGCTATACTACTGTTTACGTTTTCGCAACCGATCTTTCATACCATGAAGAAGAACATGAAGAACCCTGGAAGCCTGGCAACTCTTAGAGCCACACCAGAACTCCAAGGTTGTGGTAGTTCTACTTTCAATCACAAGCCATCAAGCGCACCACCCCCAAAAAATAGTCTGATACAGTCTCATCATATTATTCTATATTTCTAGCAGCTTTACCACGTCACAACACTCGGTTTTTTCCGCCTTCTTCCACCTCTGTGGTGCTCATCCAGGGTGCGCTCCCCTCGCGTCGTGCCGCCCGGAATGGAGGTGCCCGATGTGGGAAGGATCTCCTTGGACCACTTCTCCAACACGGTTCAGGTGCTCCACACGTGGCGGCCCACGACGGAACGACGGAACGCGCGTTGGGGGACCACGTGGAAAGGCGAAAATGGCATGGTCAGGGGAATAAGTGTTTCTGTAGAGCGAACTGATACAGATCAGGTCGCTTGGGCAGTCCATTTGGTCGGTTCTTTCCGGTTGCTGCAGTGCGGCCCCGGGTGGAGTTCTTGGCCCCGGTTCACACCGAGACAGGCGCCGGAACATGGGGCTCACATGCCCCCGACCTGAATCTTCATTTGTTGGTCTCTAAAGATGTAGCCCTCACAGATGGGGGATCAGTCGTTGCCATCCTTGTAGCTGGACGTTCCGAGGGGTTGTAGCCGCCAGCATGCGCCAGCCTTTTGTTCTTCCATACCCCGAGGGGGTTTAGGGTTTTGGGTTCTTTTGACCACCTAAGCTGTCACGAAAAACACTGGGTGATGGAAGTCCAAAGAAGATGTTTTCAGCACGTTCTAAGTCGTTGGTTTTGGACTTAGTTGCGAGCATGTTTGCGGATGGGATGTGGGCGAAGTCCGGGACAAACATGCTCTGACTGCTCTTAAACTTAGCTCAAATATGTGATTTGGCTGCATCTATAGCTCTTGAAATGCTCAAGGGACTACTGGATGGCTAAAATTCTATCCCAAATCCTTCACACGTCATCGAAGTGTTCTGCTTCAAACCAAACATCGAGCGGTTCCCCGGTTCTGGTGGCTCCAGCTGTAGGTCGATATGAAAGAATTGAACAAGAGTCGTTTTCGCAGGCTCAAAGCGATCATGTCCGCCACAGCCATAGCTAACTTTATTTGCCCGATTGGCTGTTTCAAGTCCTGCAACTTGTTGATGGAAAGATATGGACAGTGCCAGATGGAGTTGAGAAGCTCATTTCCGATTTGCAGTTACTCAGATTGGGAACCCATGCAAGGTTTGGACGTACGACCACTCAGATCTGACTGGAGAACATGACGGTTTGGACGTCCGTTGACCGGAATCAACCGAAAACATGTCGACCGGGCCATGGTCCTTGAGGTAGCTGATGTTCAAAGCAGTGTTCAAAGCCCACCAGTCTGGTGTGTTTGTTCAGGAGATTTCAGGAGCAGATCAATTGTTTGGGGTTCTCTAGCATAGCGGACACCTAGGCACAGCCGGTGCGATGTAACTTAAACTGAAGACTCCCCACGAGCTGTGCACAGCACTGGACGCCACGCAAGACGCCACTGGACACCACCGCTTCCCAAATTCCCGACAGCTCGCGATGTTGTGCCGGATGTCGACCGATGGCTGATGCTGGAAGAGAGATTCATGGCAACAATTTTTGGGGCCGTTCGGGTGATCGATTAGTGACTATAGTGACTTCGAGGGTCCTCGATCGGTGGAAGTCAAGCTTGGAAAGGTTCCGGCACACTTCTTTGAAGGTGCAAGGCTGGTCTTCCGAAGGATGCAATGACCATAGACTGCGTGTGGGTCTTGCTGCTCTTAGTCTCAGTTTTGGGGGTTCCGGTCTCTGAGAAACCTGGGATCTCTTCGTTTCCCATCACCCACCAAGGAGCTGGAACCCAGCAAGCAGGCACCGGCAGGCACCGGCAAGCACGACCCAGCTCATGTCGCTCAGGATATGAGCGGCTTCAGATTCTGGGTGAGGGATCCTATGGTACTGCTCATCTGGTTCGGGAACGCCATGGTTCTCGCAAGCTGCTCGGACAGGAGAGGAGAAACCTTTCAAAAGAGGATTCCTTGGTCATGAAGAATATAGGTAGCACCTATTGTATCCTATTATAGGTGATCAGTGATAAGTAACTCATTGCCGCTACAATCGGTGTAGCTGTTTACTATGATACCCGCATTCGGTGGACATCGCACGATATCGTTGTTGACGTTCGACGTATGTGGGTATCCACAGAAGGCACGTTTGGCGAGGTGTCATAGTTGTTGACCCTGCTCAGAAAAGGACCAATTGCCAATAGCGCAAAACATATGGCGATTGATTCAACATCAGGACAAAGCAGAAATGATCACGATGCGATTCATGGAAGAATTACAATAGGTTGTTCCACAAGTCACAACACCCCTGAAACGTCCTGAAACACAAAAAAGCTGGCCAAAGTCCTTCCACAAAGTATGATCAACTTAAAGCACTAGCTTAACTGCAGAAGCTGAGTACTAGCTTAGTGTTTAGTAAGTTCATGTGCACATTCTACCCCACTCAGAGATACGTGACAGAGATACCTGAATTCCCGATTCACGCCCTACTTTGAGGTGTTTTGGGATATGTTCAGTTGCTTTGTTGTCCCATTGACCGTCAGAGGATGCCTTGATGGGCCTTGATCCAAGCATGGTCAGCAAGTCACTAGATTTCTGCCACACGAAGCACACACGTTCCCTGAAGCCCAGCGTCTCGGGGGTGCTTTGGGCTCACCACGCATCCGGCAGACCAGACCTGGGCTTATGCACCCCAGCCCGGCAAAGCTGAAATGGACGCCATACTCTCCATTCCAGGAAGCCACATGGCCCCCCGTATTTGAAGCTATGGCTTTCTAGGCACCTCCACGGCGCAATGCATGTGGTTCATTTCAACACGAACACCAGGATGCACGTGCTTTGCTTCATTTCATGACTCAAGACTTGTTGGGGCTAAGTATTGATCAAAACCACCTGACTATGTGTGGCTGACAGACCCAAACATGGCTGATCTTCTCAGGTATGTGGCCAAGGAGATACGAATCAGCCATTTGGGTGAGAAGGACCTGGGTCAGTGAGAGGATCTGCCCGGTTGATCCGCCATGCCATGGCCAGAGATTCTGAGATGAAACCCATGTTTTTTGCTTTGAACACATTTTGCTACGTGGCAGGAAACAAGAAAAGCCGCAGAAAGTATGATCAAACGCATTAGCACCTCTCCGTTCAGTTTTGGAGCATCGTAAAAAGGACGATTCTTAGAAGCAATCTTTACATGGTGGCAAACAGCCACCCTAGCTAGCTGACCAATGATGTTTGTGAACTAACGTCAGCGGAATTGATGCATGATTTCTTGATTTTTTGAGGAGAGGAGCTTGGCGCTGGCAGAGGCAGACGTCCTCAAACGCTTAGCTCATGCCAATATCATTCGTGCCTTGGCAGGGAAATTGACATCGAACACAGGGGAGCCCAGGCGGATCTGCTAGAGATCAATGTCAATTGGGCTGCTGCTCATGAGGAGACTGTTCATGTTTGGTCAGGCAACTGGACTTGAACAACCTCAAAATGTGTAGTTACCAGGTGTCACATGTCGGGGTGCTTTGTGACTTGTGGTATATTGTTATTCTGTTCATGGTTGTATGCAAAGTAGTTTTTTCATACCCCAGAAGACACTGAAAGACGCTGAGATGCCGGCTGCCGGATGGGTGGAAAGCATGAAGTGAATCCCTCCTGTTAGGATTAACTCCTGGTAAGGTAGGGACAAGTGACGCCAAAAAAAAATTGAAATAATCATGGTTACGTGGATGGCATGCCTTTTGATGACCATTTTTTCCTCATACCTAACAGTTGGTTTTCACATGTTTTCTCTCCATTTCTATGTAAGTGACTTGCAGTGTATCAAGTGGCACTGGAAATCCACATTGTTGGATGGGGAACACCGGCATCACGCTGGAGAGAACTGGTCCGCGTGGTGTCCATGGTTGGTTTTGTACTTTACTTTTTCCCAAGGCCATGCCGAGTGTTTCAATGCCTTTGTTGACCAAGGGTGGTAGACCTGTGGTAGCTAGTAGGCTTTCACATCTTGTGATGAGAGATGGGTCGCTTCGACTCCACGTTCGTGGTCGCGTTGGGGACTTGGACCGAGGATATGTGGACTCCTTCATCGAAGCCACTCGTTGAGGGCACGGGATGGGCGAGGACAAACGGCTTGAGAAACAGGGTTCGAGCGATGTCAGGAGCAAGCCTTAAGCTGAAACGGCGGTTTGGTCCATTGGATCAACAGTGAATAACAATAACCTCCAGCCCAGCCATGCAGTTTTTCTCAGCATTTCTCAGTAGGCTGGGTGTGGGGCACACATCCCTGCACGGAAGCCCACTTCTGCTCAGGGTTATATCTTTCTTTTAAAGGATCTAATATATAAGTACGATAGTATACATAAGCATACATAAGCATACATCAGTTACATTGCAACAGCCCAACACTTAGACCAAGATCTCGGCGCAAGATGTTGAGGCCCGGCTCTTGTACATAATCATGGAATACGCCGACCACGGGGATTTGGCCACCCAGATCCAGCTCCGGCGCGGTGAACTTGGAACACCAGGTGCGGCGAAGCGGATGAACAAGGGGCAAGAAACGGACGGTGTTCTTCGTTGCTTCAAATTCCAAGCACAATGGGATTGTCCGCAGATTGCTATACTTGCATTGTGTGCGAGCCAGAAATCAGTCCGGTTGTTTGATGTGTTTGTTGAACAGCCAGATTCCTCTCTCCTGACTGGCTCGTTCCGCCCCGTCCTGTTGTCGTGGGTGTCATGTTTCTTCTGGCCCTGTGGATCCAAGCATCCAATGCGTAGCGTACCAGTTGGAAGGTAGACCTACCAGAACATGCAGTTGGGTGGGTATGTTGAGCACATCCACGTGAACGAAGACGAGTTTCGTTTCAGCCCCGCAGTTTGTGGGCCGGAATTGGCCATCGGCCCTAGGGAGATGTGTTTGGCTGTATGGTTGGCGGCGAGGTAGGCTTTAGGGAGATGTATGGTTAAAGAGCGGAACTCCAGTTATTTAATCAACAGCCTACCAGTGCTGCGGATGCAGACGTATACCAGTGGTGTTTTTGGGAGCTCTCATCGGAGTGAATGAGATGAATATTCGGTGAAACAAAAACATCGCCGTTGGACGCCGTTGGACCAACATACCATTATAAGCCTTGGAAGAGGCAATCGATTTGAGTGCTTACTATAGCCTGTCATAGACTATAGACTATAGACTATTACGTAGTGATACGTAGTGTACACCGATCCAGTTTGTTCAGGTCACCGGGGAA